CAGCAGAAAGAATGGGTCATCAGAGAAGGCAGTACCTTTCTCTGAAGGGAGGAGAGAACTTCCACTTTTAATATGGCCTTGTCTAAATAAGATCAGAGTTGGTGAAGTCAAGAGGCTTCCATAGCCTTGGCAGCTCATGACAAGAGCCTCAGGTGATTTCTGGCGCCATAAATAAGAGTGTCAATTGTTAACAACAGGAGTCACTGTGCACCTGCCCCCCATGTAGGACCTCTGCCCTTAATGTGTTGTATTATGAAAATTAATGGTAAAACTGCTATGCAAGCAGTACTCTCTACTCTGTGTGTCTGTGTGGGTGCAGTCTGTTGAAATCTTTACTTAATATATACTAAATTGATCTTCTGTATATAAAGAGAATTGAAAATGAATCATGATGAAGAATGGGATGGGAGAGGGAGTGGGAGATGGGATGGTTGTGGGTGGGAGGGAGGTTATGGGGGGAAAAGCTGCTATGATTCAAAAGTTGTACTTTGGAAATTTATATTTATTAAATAAAAGTTGAAAAAAAAAAAAAAAAAACCACGGAACTGAGCAGGGGAGTTGTGGGGCAGTAGGTGTGGTCTCCTTGAGGAGGACCAGCAAGAGCTTCTGGAAGGAGAGGTCAGGGCTGCAGAGCCTGCTGGGGTCTTTTGCAGCACGTGCTGTGGGAGGACGCGCATCCTGCGGGGTGGCCAAGACAGCAGTCCGGTGTCTCTGAAAGCCTTTGTGCCCAAGGTTCTGCCTCACAGGGCAATGTATAGGATGTGAGTTCTGAATGGAAAGTTGGCAAAATCCTTTGGAAATTGGCTGAGGAGCAGGAAACAAAGGGTTGCGGAGGGCTCGGGGGGACACCCAAGAGGATGTTAACTGCAGATTGCCTCTGGGAATAGGGTTGCCACCAGGTTAAAGATTACTCAGAATGGTATTGAAGGGGACTTCCATGTTGGCTAAGGGAGCTGCATTAGGGAGCTGTTGGAGGGAATATGAACGGTGGAGTTAGAAAAGAATTCCCTTTATTGACAGAATTCAAGGGTAGCATTTCAGACATGTTTGTATCAATCCACACCCACTCTGTTGGACAGATTTCCAGTTGAGTGGTGAGCAGGGTAACTTCAGCTTCAAAACTCAGCCTGTCTCTTTTCTTGGGTCAAAAGAAAGCATTTTGAAGCTTTCTGGCCCCTCGTCACAGGGCAAATCCTGAAATTAAAATTAAGTGGATGTTATCCTCAGGCCTGGGAACCTCCCTTTTAGGAGCTGTATGAAAAATAGAATCTCCTACTTAGCCCCAAGCATGGGATTGAACCAACTGACATCCATAGCTCCCTACCTCTGGTTACTTAATATTTCTATTTTCTGTAGCTCAGTTTTTGCAAAAGTTTATGGTTGATAGCCTCCAATAAGAAGGGAGCAGTCTAATGTAAGCAAAATTATTGCATACTTAGTTTAATAATGCAGTAAGCACTTCAAGATGCAATGACTTTGAACAGCCCTTGTCTCAACTGTTGAATGGGTATTTGTTGTGTGTGTGCAAATTATCGAACCCTTTACTTAGTATAGAGTTGGTCTTCTGTGTATAAAGTTAATTGAAAATGGATCTTAGTGGAGAATGGGACTGGGAATGGGAATGGGAAAGGGAGGAGGAAGAGGGGTGGGAGTGTGAGTGAGAGGGTGGGTATGGTGGGAATAAGCACTAAATCTTAAAATTGTACTTATGAGGCCGGCACCACAGCTCAATAGGCTAATCCTCCACCTGCAGCACCGGCACACCAGGTCCTAGTCCTGGTCGGGGCGCCGGATTCTGTCCTGGTTGCTCCTCTTCCAGTCCAGCTCTCTGCTGTGGCCCGGGAGTGCAGTGGAGGATGGCCTAAGTCCTTGGGCCCTGCACCTGCATGGGAGACCAGGAGGAGGCACCTGGCTCCTGGCTTCGGATCAGCGTGGTGTGCCAACCACAGCGTGCCAGCCACAGTGGCCATTGGGGGTGAACCAACGGAAAAAGGAAGACCTTTCTGTCTCTCTCTCTCTCTCTCACTCTCCACTCTGCCTGTCAAAAAAAAAAAAAAAAAGGAATAAAAAAATTGTACTTATGAAATGCATGAAGTCTGTATTCCTTAACTAACAGGTTTCTTTGCGGGTTGGGAGGAACAATACAGTAAGCTAAAACCTGAAGTGAGAAGCCCATGAGTGATAATGGCTGTCTCTTTGTAGAGCCTAAACTAAGGAATAGTCTGTGTTGGCATTACAGGTTCCACTGGGCCCTTGATTTCCTTGTGTACAGACCTGACCCAGTTGGGGTCCTTCATGGCTTCTGCTACTCAAAGTGTGGTCTGTGTGGCTACTGCATTGACATCAGCTTGGAGGAAGTTAGACCTGCAGACTCTCAAGCCCTACCCCAGAATTGAGAATCTACATTTTAGCAGAATCCCCGGCCAATGCCTATGCATATCAATGTAGGATAAGCACTGCTCTAAAACATGCAAGGACCAGAGAAGAAGATACAGTGAACAGGGTTTGGTTGCTTCTACTAGAGTAGAAATTGGATCACATTAATTGTGATCTGAAGATAGCATTCTGACATTTGGGCCTTTCCAGTCTGCTTTAGTTCCCCTTTCCTGTTTTCCTTCATTTGGCTCATTAGGCTCAGCACCTCCTCCAGGATGTCAGCTGAGCCTCACGTAGCATGTCTTGAGAAGAAGATGCTTAAGGCCAGTGTGGTTTACTCACTAGTGCACATCCCTAAGCGTAGTTCTTGTGCTGCGCCATTAGCTAATTATTATCACGTAGTTTACAGGACATAGAGGCCTGGCATCTGGTGGCTACCTTTCACTTGAACCCAATGATCAAGGGCTCTGTAGGTGAGCACTTGGTAGTTTTCTGTCCCCTGGGCCTTGGCTGTTAACCCACAAAGCCAGCCGCACACAGGGTATCACTGGCCTGGATGAACCTTTCTAAAGCATAATGTGGCAGGGCAGGTGTTTGCCTCAGCAGGGAGACATCCATGCCCTATATTGGAGAGCTGGGTTTAATATCCAGTTCTGGTTCCTGACTTCAGCATCCTGCTAATACAGTCCTTGGGAGGCAGCAGTGGAGGCTCAAGTGATAGCATCCCTGCCACCCGTGTGGGAGATTCGCCTTCGCCTGTGCTCCCAAGCTCCCAGTGTTAGGCCTGGCCTTTGGGGACATTTAAGGAGTGAACCTGTAGATGGGAGCTCTGCCACCCTTCCACCCCTTCTCTGCCTCTCCAGTTGAAAAATAATTATTAATTTTTAAAAATAGAAGGCTTAGCTTAGCTATCAAAGACCTGGATTTGAATAGTTGGTAGGTTCTTTGGTTGTATTATCTCTACCTACAAGATGACACAACAGTGACTGTGTGGTGGACACATACACAGTGGCTTACACTACATCCTCCCTCACCCTGACCTCTCACTTGCCTGCAGAGTTTGTTTTAGAAAATAGGATACAAGAATGAAGGAAGCTGAAGGAGACTGATTAAATGGGCCTGCCTTTGTCCTCAGTTGATGAGATGGGACAGGCAGAGGTGAATTCAACCCAACTGAAGCTTGGTATCTGTTGTTAGTTTCGCCAAGGCTGCCCTATTCTTTTTAAAGAACACAGGTAGATGTTGAAGTATCCAAGTCATGTAAGGTAATGGAGATGAGGAAAGACTTAAGGTTTCACTCAAGACAGACACTTGCTGCAGAGACTCAGGCTGAGCTTGAGTGCTTTGTACCTTAGCCTGGGGCTCATCCACCACAGTGCAGTGTCAGAACCCCATTCTCATGTGAAAGGAATCCAGCCTCTTGGGCCTCATAACTGATAAGGCAGGAAGGGTTTCAAGTGAGAGTATTAAATAAAGTCAGTCTCCTTAGTCCTAGACAAATAAGAGGATACTTCAAAAAGTTTATGGGAAATGGAGTTAAAAAGTAAGTTTATTTTGGTACGAAAAATGCTGAAATCCGAGCATAGTTTTTTTCAGAATACATATTATTTATGAAATTTTTTTTTTTTTATTTTTTTTTTGACAGGCAGAGTGGACAGTGAGAGAGAGAGACAGAGAGAGAAAGGTCTTCCTTTGCCGTTGGTTCACCCTCCAATGGCCGCCGCTGCAGCCGGCGCACCGCGCTGATCCGATGGCAGGAGCCAGGATCCAGGTGCTTTTCCTGGTCTCCCATGGGGTGCAGGGCCCAAGCACCTGGGCCATCCTCCACTGCACTCCCTGGCCATAGCAGAGAGCTGGCCTGGAAGAGGGGCAACCGGGACAGAATCCGGCGCCCCGACCGGGACTAGAACCCGGTGTGCCGGCGCCGCAAGGTGGAGGATTAGCCTATTGAGCCACGGCGCCGGCCTATTTATGAAATTTTTGAAGACCACACTCATAAGCATGAATTTCAAGATCATTCCAAGCATACCTCAAGTGTTACATTTTCAACTTAATTCTTACTTAATTATTAAGGCCATCTCTTGGGCTCATTCCTGGTTGTTTATTGGACCCATATGTCTGCATAGCAAGTTATCAAAGGAGGGTACCCTGGCCATAAAGCTTCTAGTATAATCAACTACCTTACAGTACATACCCCAAAACCTCTAGGCTGGTCAGGAAAACGGAAGAGGAATCAAAAATCAGTTTGTAGGAGGAAGGTGTTTGGCCCAGGGGTGAAGCTGCCTGCTGGGACACCTGCATCCCATTTTGGAGTACCTGGGTTCAAGTCCTGGCTCCAGTCCTAATTCCAGCTTCCTGCTAATGCAGATCTTGGGAAGCAAAGGTGATGGCTCAGGTAATGGTTCCTGCCACCTGCCTGGGAAATCTGGATTGGTTCCTAGCTGCTGGCTTCAGCCTGTCTGAGTTCCAGCTGGTGGGAGTATTTGGAACATGAACCAGCAGATGGAGGGTATACTGTCTCTCTCTCTCATTGTCTTTCTGCCTGTCAAGTTAAAACAAGAAATCATTTCATGAAGGAGAATCATGTGTTGATTCTTATGCTGTGGTATTCCTGTTCCTTTCAGGTAAGAGTCTACGATCTCTCCAAATATGAGCATGGAGCAGATGATGTGCTGATCTTAGCCACTGATGGACTCTGGGATGTTTTATCAAATGAAGAAGTAGCAGAAGCAATCACTCAGTTTCTTCCTAACTGTGACCCAGATGACCCTCACAGGTTTGTGCATTGCTGTGATTGTAGGTATTCCTTCAGGAGACACGCATGACATGACTGAAACACTCACACAGTTTTCATCATTCATAATTTATAGCAGAGAGTGATAGGGATGGTTCAGTAATCAAACTGCAAAAGAAACTGTATATCTTATTAGAGGTATTTTCTAGGCCAAATAAAACCCTCCTTAAGTTGAACCAATATGTAAGTAGTAAACAGTTTGATTTGTTAGATATTTCAGCAGCATTTCCTTCTCACAGTCTCACTCCATATCCTCCAGAGTAGGAGTAATCCAGGTTTTGATCCTGCTGGTAAGAGTGATGACACATGTTCCATAGCGCTGATTTTGAATTTTGGGTAATTGTTTCTTTCTGGAAAGACTGAGAAAGGACAGAAGACAGATTCAAGTAGGTATTCCTTTCTAGTGTGGGGGCAGGTAAATATTCTAAAAAATCCTGGAAGCCACTCAGAAATAAAGAGAAATCACCTCTAGAGAAAGAAAGCTTTACCTAGAACACAAAGAAACAATTCACCATGAGTAGCAACCAGCAGAAACGGTAAAGCTGAAACTGTGAATACTTTATTAGTAGACTCATCAGTCAGAAATTTAAATAGATATTTTACATGCTTCCAAAATTGTTGTTAAATTATTATATTGAGAAGATGAGCAAGAGGCTCTAAAATGGCTAAGATTTTTAAGTAAGGAAATGGAATTTCTAGAAATGAAAAATATAAACATAAAAATTAAAAATTCAGTGAATTAAACAATTGAAGAGAACATTGGTGAACCTGAAAATTTATTTGAAGAAATAATCCAGAGTATGCCTCCAACAGACAAAGAGAAGAGAAAAATAAAATGGAAGTAAGAGACTAGACTGACCTCAGAGGTTCCAAATAGATTTCTAAAAGGAAGTACTATAGAAGATGAGAATAAAAAGTTTAGAATTCTTTAAAAATACTAAACCTAAGGCCTGAAAAGCCCAACAAATCTCAAACAGATTTTAAAAAAAAATATTATGAGCAACCAGAAAGAAATGACAAAACAGACACATAGGAATGCTCAAAACATTTAGGCTGACAGCTCATTTTTTCAAAGCAACAATAGGAGCCAAAAGACAGTGGGATTGTATCTTGAGTTGGTCAAGGAAAAAATAGCTATCAGTATAGAAGCTATATTATAATACATATATTACATTTATATGTAATAAAACCATCAATAAAGAGGGATGAAGTTCAGGCAAAACAAAAACTAGGAAATTTTATTGCCAACCAATCTCCTGTAAAGAGAAATTCCAGAAGTATATGCTCAGATAGGAAAACGAAGAATGCCGATTGGAAGATCTGGGAAGTAGGGTGGATTATTAAGATAAGCTGTGAGTAAGTATGTGTGTATATTGAAATGTACGTAGACTGCATAAAATAGCAATAAGAATGTCCCATGTATGAAGTGAAATTTGGCAGCAGGGGCTGGCATTGTGGTGTAGCAGGTTAAGCTGTCACTTGAGAGGCCCACATCAGAATACCTGTTCCCCTGCTTCCAATCCAGCTTCCTGCCAATGAGTCTGAGAAGGCAGTGGATGATGGTCCAAGTACTTGGGTCTCTGCCACCCTTGTGGGAGACTCAGATGGAGTTCCAGTCTCCTGACTGCAGCCTGGCCCAATCCCAGCCATTGCAGGCATTGGGGAAGTGAACCAGTAGCCACAAACTCTCCCTGTCCATCTGTGTCTTTCTCTTTGTCTCTGAAGTAATCAAATAAAGGCTGGCTTTTAAGCCTTTTTCTAATTTAATGAGCTAAGCATAGGTGATGACTCCACTAACCTTTGACTTCCAGAAGTGACTAGTTTCTCTCCATGTCGTGAGGTAAGTTTTTCCCAAGCTTTCCCCGTATCACAAGGAACCCCTGACCGGCAGGGAAGACAGGAAGAAAAACATAGCCTAACCACAAAGTCAGACATTTCTTGCTGAAGGAAGACTTGAGTTACTTCACTGGCTCTTCCTATATTCCCCTCATAAAACATGTTCAAAAGAAAACAATAAGTGTTGGCAACCATGTGGGGAAATCAAAATTCTTGAACATTGCAGGTGAGAATATAAAACGATGCAGCCACTGTGGAAAATTGTGTAGGAGCCAAAGAATTAAACATAGACTCACATATGATTCAGCAATTTTATTTCCTGGTATATATGCGAAAGAGATGGAAGCAGAGGCTCAGCCTTAACATTTTTACACCCAAATTCATAGCAGCATTATTCACAACAGCCCAAAGGTCAATGCAACCCAAGGGAATGGCTAAACAAAACGTAAATGCATACAGTCAAATCTTATTCGGCCTGAAAGGGAAGAGAATTCTGACACGTGCTATAACATGGATAAACTCTAAATGCAAGATGCTACGTAAAACAGACCAGTCAGAAAAGGGCAAATATTGTGTGAGGTCCTAGACAGTGGTCAAATTCATAGAAACATAAAGGAGAATGGTGCAGGGGCTGGATGGAGGGAAGACCTGCTTATTGTTGAGGGGTGGGGAACGTCTGGCTCACAGGCTGTATAAGGCCAGCAGAAGCATTTGGTCTGGCTCTGCCAAGGCAACTGCAGGTGGGACTTGAAATTCAGTAAATTTATAGCAATCTAACTCTTAAGATGATGATTCTGTGTGGCCCACGAATGCTGTTATCAACATCCAGAGAGCCCATGGCAAGAACAGCTTCCCCACCCCTGGAATGAGTAGTTCAGCTGGGAACATGAAAAAGGGCTGGATAAGGATTGTGCTGATGGTTGCATAACAATGTGAGTGTCCATAATGCCACTGATATGAATATTAAAAAATTACTAAAAGAGTTATTTTAGGTATGTTTTACCAGCATACCAAAAAAATCAATTTCTTTAAAAAAATAAAAAAAGTAAATTTTTTGAAAGAACAAAAATAGAACAAATAAACAACATTAAGAGCATAAACAGTAATAACTCGGGGGCTGGCACTGTGGCACATTGGGTTAAAGCCATGGCCTGCAGCACCAGCATCCCATATGGGAGCCAGCTTGAGTCTGGCCACTCCACTTCCAATTCAGCTCCCTGCTAATGTGCCTGGTAAAGCAGTACAGGATGGCCAAAGTCCTTGGACCCCACATGGGTCACCCACATGGGAGACTCAGAAGATGCTCCTGGCTTCTGACTTCAGCCTGGCTCAGCCTTGGTTGTTGTGCTATTTGAGGAGTGAACCAGTAGATGAAAGATTTCTCTCCTTGTCCCTCCTTCTTCTCTGTAACTCTGCCTTTCAAATAAATAAAAATAAATCTTTAAAAAACAGTAATAATGCACAGCAGTGATTAAAATGAGACTACGATGCAAAAGGCAAAAATAAATACAACTTTTAGAAGATAGCTTAAAAGATTATCTTTATGACCTTAGCGTAGGGAATGATTTCTTAAGACAAAACACAGTAAATGAAAGACTGCTAAATTTGTCTACATTAAAATTACAAACTTTGCTTCCTCAAAAGATGACCTCTTTTTTGTTTGTTTTATCTTCTTTTTCCCCCAGAAACCTTCTATTTAAGGAATACAAACTTCATTCATTTCATAAGTACAATTTTAGGAAATACTGATTCTGCCCATCCCTCTTCCTCCTCCCTCTCCTATTCCCACTCTGATTTTTTACTAAGATCTATTTTTCAAATTAACTTTATATTATTAACTTTATACTAAATAAAGAGTTCAACAGATAGTATGAAAAAAGAACTGTTTCTCAACAGTTGAGAAAAGGGCTATTCAAAATCGTTGCATCTCAGAGTGTCAACCTCACCTCTATAGATGACCTTTTAGGTGCTTTATCAGTTGTCACAGATCAGGGAGAACCAATGATATTTGTCCTTTGGGGACTGGCTTATTTCACTAAGTATGATGTTTTCAGATTAATCCATTTTGTTGCAAATGATGGGATTTCATTTTTTTTACCACTGTGTAGTATTCCATGGTGCACATATCCCATAATTTCTTTGTCCAGTCTTCAGTTGATGGACATTTGGGTTGATTCCATATCTTAGCTATTGTAAATTGAGCTGCAGGAAACATGGGAATACAGATAACTCTTTCATCTACTGATTTCATTTCCTTTAGGTAAATTCCCAGGAGTGGGATGGCTGGGTCCTATGGTAGGTCTATATTCAGATTTCTGAGGTATCTTGAAACTGTCTTCCACAGTGGCTGTACCAGTTTATATTCCTATCCACAGTGGGTTAGGGTACATTTTTCTCATCCTCACCAGCATTTGTTGTTTGTTGATTTCTGTTTGAAAGCCATTCCATCTAGGGTGAGTGAAACTTCATTGTGTTTTTGATTTGCATTTCCCTGATGGCTAGTGATGCTGAGCATTTTTTCATGTGTTTGTTGGCTATTTGGATTTCCTCTTTTGAAAAATGCCTGTTTAAGTTCTTTTCGCATTTCATAGCTGGGTTGTTTTTACGTTGTTGTGGAGTTTCTTGATCTCTTTATATATCCTGGTTATTAATCCTTTATCAGTTTCATAGTTTGGAAATAAATTCTCCAATTGTGTCAGCTGCCTCTTTGCTGAGTGTTTCTTTTGCAGTGCAGAAGCTTCTCGATTTGATGCAATTCCATTTGTCAATTTTGGCTTTGATTTTGTGTATCTCTGGAGTCTTTAGCAAGAACTCTTTGCCTGTGCCAAAGTCTTACAGGGTTTCCCCATTGTTCTCTAATAATTTGATGGTATCAGGTCATAGAGTTAGGTCTCTATTTTGAGCAGATTTTTGTTTAAGGTGTAAGCTAGGAGTCTTCCTTCATACTTCTGCATGTGGAAATCCGGTTTTCCCAGCACCATTTATTGAAGAGACTGACCTTGCTCCAGGGATTGATTTTAGTTACTTTGTCAAAGATAAGTTGGTTGTAGATGGTTGGGTTGACTTCTGGTGTTTCTATTCTGTTCCATCGGTCTATCCATCTGTTTTTTTTATCAGTACCAGGCTGTTTTGATTATAACTGCCCT